GCAGGGCAGACCGCTCTGGCGGAGGAAAGAGAGGGAACCAGCAAGGCATGAAAGGCTGCAGCCCCACCGTGTCTAGTCTCACACTCCTAACTGGCAGAGCATGTCTGAGGGACATAGGAGGCGCTTCAAAAAGTTCATGGAAAAATGGGATGAAAAGACTATGGAATTTTCCTGGGAAATTTGGGAAGTATTCTGGTATACCATAGAAGGTTCCAGGACACCTGGGCTCAACTTGCAGATAACTGGGACTGCGGTAGGCGCAACATTTCTGAGATCAAGAGCAGAAACGCCATGTAAAATTTCATGCCGCTGCCTTCAGAATCGGCGTCGGCTCACAGGTGAGGGCAGCCGCAGAGCTTCCGGACTCCCAGGATCCTGACCCACCACCACTTGCCAGCAGGGTGGCCTTCAGCAAATCACAGAACCGCTCAATCTCATTTTGCGGATAATCCTATTTGTAATGATAGTTCTTTGGAGAAAATAGCTCTACAAAGACAAGACATTTGCTTAATACAAAGAAGAGGGAATGCCCAAGTGGAATTCATCCCAGAAGTGCAGTCAATGCATTATATACAAATAAATCAATATATGATAATACAATAAAGGGAAAACAACTATGTAATCTTCCAAATCACAATCAAACTCACTGCTGTCGTGTTGATTCTGACTCGTGGTGACCACATATAGGATTTCTCAAACTGTAAATCCTTAGAAAGCCTCATCTTTCTCCCATGGATCAGCTGGCAGTTTTGAACCACTGACCTTGTGATTAGCAGTCCAACACTAATCTACCAGGGGTCCTAATCATCTCAACAGACCAAGAAACAGCATTTTACAATATCTAGTGTCCTTTCGTGATTAAAAACACCCAACAGCGTAGGACCATAATCTTGGGGGGCATCCAGGTAAATTGCATAACACAGTCTACAAAGATAATGCTCTAAGTCTTTTTTAAAAAATTTTATTGAAGGCTCTTACAGCTCTTTTAACAATCCATACATCAACTGTATCAAGCACATTTGTACATACATTGCCATCATTATTTTCTAGACATTTATTTTCTATTGAACCCTTGGTGTCAGCTCCCCCCTCCCCATGGCCCCTTGATAAATTATTATTTTCATATCTTAAACCAACCGCTGTCTCCCTTCTCCCATGGTTTCTGTTTTTTGTCCCCCAGGGTGTGGTTATGTGTTGAACATCGCGATTGGTTCCCCCTTCCTCCCCACCTCTCCCCACTTTTCCCCTTCCCTCCTGGTATCACTACTCCCATTCCTTTTCCTGGATTCCAGGTGTCGGGAGCTCTTCTGTCTTCTCTGTGCCTGTGCACATGCTCTGGTCTAGCCCTCAGTGAAAGGCAGTAGTACTGGGTTCATGATAGGGGCCGGGGCTGGGGTGGGGATGTGAGGAAGCCTCAAGGAAGTATTGTGTGTTTCATGGGTGCTATACGGCACCTTGTTGACTCATCCCTTCCCTGTGTTCCCTGTGAAGTCTCTGAGTGGATGTCCATTGTCTACAGATGGGCTTTGAGTGCTCCAAGTCTTTAGCGAACAGTGACTGGGTCGTAAATGCCTGTAGGATGTAAAAGAAGAGTGAAGAAAACCAGACTCAAAGAAACAATCGAAGGATCACAGCCCCCACTGTCCTGAGATCAGAACCATAGTGCCTGGCTAACGCTATTCATCACTGAACACAATAGAAGATCCTGGACGGAATGGAAGGAAAATGATGAATGGAATTCAAAATCCATGCCAAGACAACACTGACCGGTCTGAATGAGACTGGTGGTCCTCCAAGACTCCGAGCCGGACACACCCTTCAAACCTGGAGTGAGCCCACTCCTGGGGACCACTCATCAGCCACACAGGAGACAGACAGGTCCACAAAGCGAATGAACAATAACACCTGTGAGGAACTTACTCCTTGCTATGATCAGCCACGTTTGCCCAAGAAATTGAATTTGCTCCAAGAAAGGGGCAGGAAAGAAGGGTGGATTGAACCCGGGAACCCAAAGAGGAAGTGGGAAGAGTGCTGTACCATCGGGCTACTAATGCCACAAAATATGCATAAAATCTTGAGCTGGAAACTAATGTGCTCTGTAAATGTCCCCCCACCAAACCACAATAAAATGTTAAACAAAAAACCCCATCTCAACAAACTAGGAAGAGGAGATCACCATTGTCAACTTGATTAAAAATACCACCACCCAGTGAATCCTGACTCCCAAAGGGCAGAGTAAAACTGCCCCTGAGGGTCTCCATGGGAGTGACAATCTTGATAAAGGGTATCTAGCAACCCACAGCTAACATCAGACTCAATACAGAAGGACTGACGCTTTCCCTGAAGAGCAGGAATAAGAAGGATGTTGACGCTCAAAATTTCTATTCAACATTATACTAGAGATTTGAGCCAGGGCAATCAGGCAAGGAAAAAAACAAAGACATGGCATCAAATTGGAAAGACAGAAGCTCTCTCTTTTTAAAGATGCCCTGTCTGTTATATGAATGTGGAAACCCCTAGGAATCCACAAGAGGCCTAATGAACGAGTTCAGCAAGGTTGCAGGAAACATGATAAATAGAAACAAATTCCATACACAAACAGTGGACGATCCGAAAATGAAATTTCATTCACTAGGAAACATTTTCACTTACATGAAAACGATTCCATTTACAATAGCAAATAAAAGAACGAAATACTCAGTAACATTTAACAGACAATCTGTAAGATTTGTACACTGAAAAACTACAAAATACTGAATTTATGGAAGACCTAAATGAAAGTAAATAGACCAGATGCTTAATATTGTTGAGATGCGTGATGCTTAATATTGTTGAGATGCGTTCACTCCTCAAACTGATCTACAGAATTAATGCAATCCCTTTCAAAACCGCTGGCTTAGGTGCCGAAACTGACAAGCTCAGGCTAAAAGTCATAATGGTTATGCGAGGGAGCCGGAATAGCAAAAATGTGTGTGTGTGTGTGTGTGTGTGTGTGTGTGTATTTCCTTCTAAAGGGAGGAAGTTGAAGCATTCATCCTTCACAACCTCAGAGCTTTCTAAACGAACAAGCTTTCAAATAAACAGTAATCAAAACTCCCAGGCCTGACATTGGAAACCTTCTGAC